GTGCACGAGGGGTCCCTTTTTTCCACATCCTTGCCAGCACTTGTTATTTGTTGATTTATTGATGATAGCCATTCTGACAGGTGTGAGGTGGTATCTCACTGTGGCTTTAACTAAATAAATAAGTCAGAAAAAGATAAATACCATCCTATTTCACTTATATGTGGAAATAAGATAGCCATTCTGACAGGTGTGAGGTGATATCTCACTGCAGCTTTAATTAAATAAATAAGTCAGACAGAAAAAGATAAATACCATACTATTTCACTTATATGTGAAAATAGAGAACAAAATAAACAAACAAACAAAACAGAAAAAGACTGATAGATACAGAGAATAAACTGTTGGTTGCCAGAGGGAGGAGGTTGGGAGGGCTGGGTGAAAAAGGAGCAGGGATTAAGAAATACCAAATTGGTAGTTACAAAATTGTTATGGGGATATAAAGTACAGCATAGGGAATATAGTCAATAATATCGTAATAACTATGTATGGTGCCAGGTGGGTGCTAGGATTATCAGAAGGGGATCACTTTGTAAATTATATAATCATCTAACCACTATGCTATACACCTGAAATTAATAAAATAATATTGAATATCATCTGCAATTGAAAATAAAAATAAAAGTCAGCAAGTTAAAAAAAAAATCAATTCAGTTTTAGACAGTGGGTTCATGCTTCCAGTAATCAAAGCCTATATCTGACTTCTCTGAAAAGGAAATAACCACAATGCTTTTGTTGAACGCGACATCACTGAACTATAATTATTTCTAGCACAGAGGGCTGCACCAGGAAGCATTTTGTAAAGTATATTCAATAGAGTAGTAATTCATCAAATAGTCCAAGATTTTGCTAGCTTATTGTGATGGTTAGTTTTATATGCCAATTTGGCTAGGCCACAGTACCCAGATATTTAGTAATCAAACATTATTCTTGATGTTTCTATAAAGGTATACTTTTTGGATGAGATTAACATTTAAATCAGAAAACTTTGAGTAAAGCAGATTCCCCTCCATAATGTAGGTAAGCTTTATCCAATCAGTTTACATATATGCTATTGGTTCTGTTTCTCTAGAGAACCTAACACAGATATTAAGAATATTCTGTATCGTTCTTATTTTACTAATAAATTCCCATTCTCGTTTTAAAAAAAATGCCAATGGTCAATAATGTAATCAATAGTGCCTATGTAATGACAGCTCCGTAAAAACCTCACCTTCCCCATACTTTACTTTGCTCTATGCATCTCTTTCATCTGGCTGTTCCTGAGTTAAATCCTTTGATAATAAACCAGTAATCTGGTAAATAAAATGTTTCTCTGGGTTCTGTGAACTGCTCTAGCAAATTAATGGAACTCCTAACTATAGCCAGTCGGGCAGAAGCACAAGTGACAAACAAGACGTCCCAATTGGTGGGGGTGGAGGGCAGTCCTGTAGGACTGAACCCTTTAACTGTGGAATCTAATGCTACCTCCAGGTAGATAGTGTCAAAATAGAGTTCAATTGTAGGACATCCCGCTGGAGTCATAGAGAATTGCTTGGTGGTGTCGAGGAAAAACCCACACATTGAAATTGGGTGCAGAACTGTAATGACCAGAATTATAGTATTAAAAAGTGATTAGAAAATGTTAATTTAAGTATGTGTAATATTCTCACATTTCATGTTTCATTTTTTATATAAATTAAGCAAAGAAACAACATTATCAAGCAACATGGAGTGTTGTCCATCAATGACCTAAGAGGAATTGACTTCTAGGTCAGGTAGAATATATCTATAGGTGAAGGTCCCCCAGTCTAATCCAAGTGAAAACAGAAATCTGCTGTACTCTGAACCCAGGGCTCCATGCTTTTCTCCCTTTCCTTACATTCTTTGGAAATGAAATTTTAAAGGTACATGTTACTGAATTAAAATTGAGGAGAAATGACGATGAAGTCGGGATAGTAGTAAATGGAAACTGCCAAACACCAGGCTGAGATCTTATTCACACAAAAGAGTGTGACAGTGTAAAAGCTTGACCTTCTAAATGGTTGGGCACGTCGGAGAGACTTGGCCATCCTCTTCCTGTACGTGAAGATCCTGGGCTTCCCCTGACCCTGACACTGGGGATGGGGATGTGTATAAAGGTGCCTTTGCTCATCTCAGCAATGTGACTCTCAGGGCCCTGGAGATACCTTTCTTTTTTTTAAATTTATCTTTATTGTTGAAAGTATTACAGATGTCCCTATTTCCCCCACTGCCCCAGGCCTTTCACCACCCTATTGTCTGTGTCCAGGGTATCTTTATTGTTGAAAGTATTACAGATGTCCCCTATTTCCCCCACTACCCCAGGCCTTTCACCACCCTATTGTGTGTGTCCAGGGATTATGCATAAACATGTAAATTCTTTGGTTAATCTCTTCCCATCCACCCACCCCTGACTTTCTCTGGCAGACACTCTTCTCACAGTATGTTTCCACCTTGGCTATTAGAATTCAGATTCTAGCACAACATATTCATTAATGCCCCACATTTTTTACTTGGGAAGAGTAGGTGACTCAGGCAAGTTATTTTTATCAGTCATTTTTGAAAAAAAAATATTCAAATAGATTCACAATCCATTATCTGAAACTCTTAATGCCCGTCATATTTCAGAATACATAAATTTTATGATTTTTAGAAAGGTGATATGATACATATACCATAGGCATAATATTTCAGGGAGTTCTGGGTCATCCTCATAATCAAACAGATTGTATCTACAGTACCGTGCATGAATATTCACATAAAGTGGGATAATTAAGGATTACAAATAGCCCTGTATCAGTTAATGTCAATGAGTTGCTATAAATTTACAAAAAAAAAGAAGACAAACTTCTGGATTTTTGGACTTTGGGTATTTTAGAATTGCAGATAAGGGATTATGAATCTATATGACATAACTGAGCTTTGGCAAAACTTCTCTGGCATAGAAGCAAGAGTACAAAGGAGTTGAACTAGAGGATGTTCTCAAGCTGCAGGCACCATCCAAAATGGAATGAATAAAGGCAACCAAGACACCAAGCCTAAGTGCCCATCAGTAGATGAATAGATTAGAAAACTGTGGTACATCTACAGGATGGAATACTACGCTGCTGTAAAAAAGAAGGAATTCTTACATTTGCAACAGCCTGGACGGAACTGGAGAGCATTATGCTAAGTGAAATAAGCCAGCCAATGAAGGAAAAATACCACATGATCTCACTCATTTATGGATAATAAAGACCATTATAAACTTATGAACAAAAATAGATACAGAGGCAGAGCTGCCTCGAACAGACTGTCAAACTACAGCAGGAAGGCCGGGGAGGGCTGGGGCGCAGGAGGGGAGGGTAAGAGATCAACCGAAGGACTTGTATGCATGCATATAAGCATAACCAATGGACATAAGACACTGGGGGGCAGGGGAAGCCAGGGGATTGTCAAGGGCGGGGGAAAAAAGGACACATATGTAATACTCTTTGTAATACTTTAAGCAATAAAACAATTAAAAAAAAAAGACACCAAGGGCAGATGCCCTGAGCACTGTCTTCACCCTAGGGCTCAGGGGTCAGGGGTCAGGGGCCTAGGGGCTGCACTGAAGCTGCAGATGAAGGACATGCAGCCCGGATCAAGACAAAAAGTAAAACTGGGAGCTTAGACAGAAAGATAATCAGAGTGTCCAGTGAGAACCAGCAGCATTGACATCACCCGGGAGCCCTGAGAAATGCAAGATCTTGGGCCCCACCCAGATCTCCTGAATCAGAATAAAAAATTAAGACTCCAGGTGATTTGGGTGCACCTTAAAGTTTGAGAAGCAGGAAAATAAGTTCCTTAAAGGTTTTAAGGACACATCTTAAGAAAAGCTGCTTCATTGCTCCTCAGAAGAAAAAAAGCACTTAGTCTTACACGTCATTTCTAAGATTATGGTCCCCCACTTACCATTCAATAAGCAACAAGAATTTTATTTAACAGTCTGGGTTTAGATTTGGCTCTGCTGTGCAGAGTGACACCCACCTCTGGCCCTGCCCTTCACCTCACTTCTCTGAAGACCGGCTTTTGCTTGCTTTATGACTAGGGCCACGTGTAAGACTGCATTTAAAGAAAGTGTTCTGTGACTTTTAAAAGTCTGAAAAGCCTCCTGAGCATTAAACATATAAATTAAAAGACAGTTTACACGGTAGCTAAAACAATTTATGAGGCAAATAGAAATTAGATTGAAAAGGAATAAAATGAAGATAAGATAAAAGAAGTCATAATAGAAGTTAAAGTAGGTTACAGGAATATGTTTGGTGTGTAAAAATGCATCCAGCTCCTCTTTACAAGCTCGGCTTCCCAGCCTCTGAGTGAGGCCACGCTCTCACCTTGATCCTCTCTCCGTTGCAGTCCAGTTCTTCATTGTTCTTCCCAGCTCGATTCATGGCTGACCTTGGCACTCCCAGCTATCAGTAGCTTCCAACCCCTACATTTAAGAACTTCAAATCATTGTCTATATATATATTTATTTCAGAGAGGAAGGGAGAGAGAGAGAGAGATAGAAACATCAATGATGAGAGAGAATCATCCATTGGCTGCCTCCTGCACTCCCCCTACAGGGAATTGAGCCCGCAGCCCAGGCATGTGCCCTGAACGAAAATTGAACCGTGACCTCCTGGTTCATAGGTCGATGCTCAACCACTGAGCTATGCTGGCTGGGCTACTTCTCTAAACTTTTTCAAAAGATTCATCCGTGTGTGTGTGTGTGTGTGTGTGTGTGTGTGTGTGTGTGTATTTATATCACAGCAGGTAGCCCTATTCTGCCACACATAACCTGAACTTGACTTTCAGCTATGGAAAAATGGCATGTTGAGCTAAACTCTGTTTTATATCTTTTCAATAGGTAACCTCTGGATGATATTAAAATTAATATATCCCTCCCCCACCCTTGCACATGTCATTCAAGAAGTTTCTACATGGGTGGTTATAGAAACCTGAATGATATAACATCACCCTTCCCTCTTGGTGTCTCCCAGCTGCAGGTGGAGCTGGAGCAAGAGTACCAAGACAAGTTCAAAAGACTGCCCCTGGAAATTCTGGAGTTTGTACAGGACGCCATGAAAGGGAAGATCAGTGAGGACAGCAATCACAGCTCTGCCCCTTCCTCCCTGGCCTCCGACGCTGGAAAACTGAACCACAGGCCTCCCTCCAGTGAGGAGCTGGAAGGAGAGCGCCCGGGAAAAGAGTTTGACACTCCTCTGTGAGTGTTCCTGCCAGGCCTTTGGAACATGCATGGCCTCTCAAGCTCCATTGGACTCTCTCTTATTACAAAGATCACTGCCCAGACCATCTTCCCAAGAAGCATCCCTTAGCCCAAAATCCACACCAAAACGAGAGTTCCAGAAGGATCCACGCAGACGTCCCCAGGCCCAGGCGCCATGTGCAATGTGGAAACAAATGCAGGTCTACTAGTGGAGAGTGCATGTATGTGGGATTTTTGTTTTCTTTCCAATAGTAAACTCAACGCAGGCAACTTCCAGGCTGCATGGACCATCTAGTGAAGGACTGTGTCTTCTTTGAAGAAAATCAAGCTCATGTTTTTATTTGAAGCTCTGGTATAAAATAGTTGCAAAGTAATAGAAATAGTTTGAGAAATGCATATCATTATTTAACACTATTGAACAACCCACTTTGAATATTGTTTTCCTACCTGCCACTCAACTACCGTATCTTCAATTTAACGTGCATTTTTTATTGTTTCGTCCTTTGCTTTGCAAGCACTGGTGGCTTGCAGTCTGCTAATTTATTTATCATAGAGGCCTCAGTGTATTTGTTGCTGACATGGCTTTCTCAGATATCATAGTGATTCAAATAAGCTGGTTTTCTTTCCTGAAAAAAAAATTACGTGATTGTATCTTTGCCCAGTGAAGTTATTCCCAGACTTGGCAGCATGGTTCATACATCTGGCTGCATGAGCAGGTTGGCCACACTCCTCCAGCCAGTGGGCTATCCGAGTTGACTATTTGCACTCAAAGTCTGGGATTCATTAGTCATTGGCCTGAAATGTATAAATAACTACATAGAATATGTTCAGTTGAATAAAAATATTTGAGCCAATATATGTTGAGCAGAGATTCAATCAGACTAAACAGGTCCCAGTGGTTCTTAATGTCTGACATTATTTTATGGTTCCTTTGTTTTTAATAGTGATAAAGATGGAATATTTATCTAAAGAATACACAGACCCATATATAAATGATATATATTATCTCTATGTATATACGTACACACTCAGCCATATAAGTACAGACACATGCACTACACACACACACACACATTCATTTGATTGTTGATGTGTGACAATGACCCAAACTCTTCCACAAGACTTAAAACCAAATTTAGGGATAAGAGGATAGAGATGAAAATGATCAAACATCTAGAATTCATGGGTAAATCATTGATATTTTAAGAAACAATTGATGGAGTTATTGATGCAAGTTGAATTAGATTTAGAATTTAGAATGTGAATTTGATATATATTTTGCAGGATCAAAACTGGATTTTAAACCTGTTTCAATAATCAGAATAGACAAAAATATATATGACAGAAATATGGGCATGTATTAGTATCTTCCATAATTATTAAATCTGAGAGATTTCATTTTTACTATAACATAAAAAATACTTCATTTATATATTTATTATATACATTTAATTCATTTAACTGTGTCTTTTTGTTAAGTTCTTATATTAGGTGGCATGAGAAAAACAAAGCATATCAAGGTAAAACTGATCAAAAACATTATTGAAAAGTCTTAAATAAGAGAGAATAATTATATAAAGGAAAATATAGTTTAGAGAGTAACACAAAGAACATTGAAGTTAAAGCCCTGAAGCAAGATGCTCACAGCTTTAGCTTAAAATAAACCTGCCTGATTGTAGCTTAGCAAAACATTTTAAAACACAAAGCCAGTTGTGTCCTAAAAATTATTTCAAGAATTTAATATTTTTATGGAAATCACTTTATTTAACTTTAAGCAATAACTAAGGATCACAATTAAGTTTTAATCAAAATGAAGGCTTAGTTCAAACATTAGGAAAAAGTGTTTGATTAAAAACACACATCTAGTGAGACACAAGGAGGAAAATCCCATCCTCTTTGGAAATGATAGTATTTTGATCTGAAAGATTTGGGGTGTTAATTAGACACTTAATACAACTTAACTTCCATTGAAAGAGATATCTTTTGTAAATCATTCTACTTTTGCACTTTGAAAGAAAGGCATTAATCATAAGGAAGTAAGAATGGTCAAAATCGAATGCTGCATTTTTATAAACAAAATTACAGACTGTCTAAAATTGCAGAAGCGTGAACTAATAATAGCATTCATAACCAAACGCAATAGTGATTATTACCGCATATTGTATTACATTTAGTCCAGAGATAGACTAAGGTTGAATAACCTTGACTTACACAAAACTGTTTTGGTAGTTGCATTTCATTATCTTAGTGACTCTAATATGTTTGTATTTGGCCATTTATTGTAACCACATTTTTATATCTGTGCAATGACACTTTTGCAGTTGTGGGGTAGTGTGTAACACTGTCCATCTTGCATCATCGAAATTACTACAGTGATATTATCATTTAACAATATTAATATTACTTGAAATAGACAAAGGTAAGGAAAAGGGGTCTATTTGATGTGCAGTTTTGTGCCTTTATGTATTTGCCTTGTTCTTTGTTGAATGTGTAAAATTCTGTACTGTGGTTTTTCCTATAATAGAGAGTAGAGCTGTGTATTAAATTAGCCTGTGCCCCTCTGGTACCTGTACACTACTGAGAATAGCGTGGTTTTGGCCGTGTAAACCCATTTTCAAAGTTCTGATGACATGCCATGTGATTTGGTTTTTAACATTTCACTTTAACATTTCCATATCACCATGCATCAATTACTATTCCTGTAATAGTTAAGCAGTCATTAAATAATTCCGAAAGAAAGGGCCATTGCTTGCATTACTTTGAACTTAATGTTGTGCTTTGCACTGTATAAATATTGCTTGTGATGGATTAGATATCGTGACCTTTGCCTTTTCAGAAGAAAAAAAAAGGACAAAGTATTTGAAGCTCTTAAAATGTACATATTTTGGTTCTCCTATCTCAAATTATTTAAAAAGCATAATTCACATTTTTGTAATAATTCTATGCAATTTTGTGGCATGATGTTTCTTCCACTTGTAATTTTATGTGCTTTCATCACAAATCCAAAGGAAATAATAAAACTTTCTTAACACAACCCAGCTGTTATTTCTTGGTGTCAGGACCAACCTTCTTTTGATGGGCAGGATGGTGGGAGCAGGCACAATGCCAGTCTTCAGGGATGTAACGCCCATATCCGTGCCTGTGCACAGACTCGAGATCCTGCAATGCTTGTGACCAGAGGGCACACCTGTCATTATTCCAAGATTCTGCCACCCCTCTCTATTTTTCCAATACTCCTCCCTCCCTCCCTTCTTTGATCAAAGCTAAGGAAGGCAACACAGTCAAAGGTTTTTTGACAAATAGTGGAAGTGACAAGAACTGACAGAGTACTTTGTGGAGAGCGGCTACAGTGTTTGGACAGGTTCAAGCCTCGGACTAATGAGAGGGCACAATCCTTTCGTGGCCACGTGCAAGTCCCAGCTTGGAGGGCAGAGCCCTCCCAGCACAATTATAGCCAACAGCTGTAGTTGTAAGCTTGAACCTATGGTCCGAACACGTGGCCCCATGTGCCTGAGTGATGTGGGCTTGGTAGAGTTCAGGTGCATGTAATTGAGTAGGATCGAAACCCACGAGAAATGTTGTAAACATCATGACCACGCCCTTACTTTGCCTCGTGGAATCCGGCTATAAAATAAAGACACGGTAGTCCCTGGTGCTGTCTCTCTCCATCAGAGAGGGCAGCGTCCCACCGAGACCCAGCTTTCTTCTCTTGTCTGTCTTTTCTCCATCCTTCATCGCCCCCACTCGGGCTCACCGAACCTGGCTGAGCTGACGCAGCACATAAGGCGCCCTGGGGCTGAGTATGCCATGGCCGTGCCAGCCCGCCACAGTACTTAAGTAAGTTTTCTTATAAAACAGATGAAAGAGTCTGCAACATTGATTTAGAAAATGAAATATACGTGTGTTAGGAGAATGTCTCATAGGCACCTCTAATGCAATGTATTAGTTATTGCTCTGTTACATGTTACTACAAAACCTAGATGTTTGAAGCAATATGAATTATCTCTCATATTCTTTGTGGGTCAAGAATTCGGACAGGGTAGAGTAGAGATGGCATGCGTCTACTCCACGACCTGTCTGGGCCTCGGCTTGGAGATTGGAAGTCTCGGGGCTGGAGACCAGCTTATTCACATATGTGGTGGTGGATGGTATGTCTGTCAGCAGACTAGCTGGGGCTCTGGGCTGGAACACCACAGGTGTGTGTCTTCTAGACGTGGCCTGGGCTTTCTCACAATATGGTGCCTGGATGCCAAGGGTGAGCCTCCTGAGAGAGCCAGGCAGGAGTTGTGCCAAATTGATAGGACCAAGCCTTGAAGTTGCATACTGTCACTTATGCTGAGCCCATTTGTTGGTGCTGGCACAAGCCCTTTCCCAGATTCAAGGGGAGGAAATATAGATGCCATCTCAACTTGGAGCAGAGCTGGTCACATTCTGAAGAAGGTGAGGGATGGAAGAAATACGTGGGGGCGGGGATTGGGAGGAGGGGTAGGTTTACAGTTGTTTTATTGAAAATAATACAATAACGAATAACAATACAAGAATAAACTCTGTTTTGCGTATTCCCAACTGTAAACATACTTTGTCCCACCCTTTATACTGGCGTGACCGTCTTTGGAAAATATGGCCTGCTACATACAGTGTGCACCAAACTTCATTTACAGTTACCCTCAGACCTGCTCTACCTCTTTTTTTTCTACATCCATAAACAAAACCATTACCAATTCAGTGGCCCTAGCCACAACATTGGCATTATCTTTGACAGCTGCCTCTCCTTCATCCCCTTTCCAGTAGATCCCCAAGCTGAGTCAATTCTGACGCTGTGGGAGTCCTCAGAACTGTTCACTTTCTGTGCCTTTTGCAAGTACCCAAGTTCAGGCTCCCATCCCTTCCCACCTGCCAAGGGTCTTCTAAATGGTTTCCATGACTCTAGTCTAGTGCTAAATCATGTAACCACTCCCCCACACTGTAGCTAGACTGACCACACAAAAGCAAAAATGGGATTAAAAGCCTTTAATTGACCCCAACTATCCTCAGGATATAGTCTAAACCCCTTAGTAAATGTTTGCAGTTTTACATGATTTGGTTCCTAAATAACTCAGTCATTCTCTCACATACCACACTCCAGCTTTATGGGTAATCTCACCTCCTTGGCTTTTTAAATACTATTCTTCAACTACTTCCTCTTTTTTCTCTTTTTCCTTAAATCCCTCCCCAATGCATACACACACACACACACACACACACACACACACACACACTCAGTCAGGTTCTTTCTTTGCCCTGGCTAACACCTAAAGATGAATCTTTAGGTTTATAGCATGTGTTGCTTCTTCTAGGAAGCCTTCTTTGATCCACCCAAGCTCCCCCTCATCTGTGTTCCCGTTGCATTCTATATTAGTTATCTATTGCTATATAATGAACACCATCAACACTTCCTATTATAAACAATCATTTTCTACTGGTTGTGATTCTATAGGTAGGTGGCAGACTCTGCTGATCTGGGCTAGGCTAGGCTGATATATACATCTGCAATCAGCTGAGTTGGCTGGTGGCTGGTCCTGGCTGGACCCATTCAAGTCTCTGGAGCCTTGGCTGGAACAAATGAGCTGAGTTGGCTCTGCACTTTATGATTTCTCACCCTCCAGCAGGCTAGCAATGGGTTTTCACTTGTCAGAGGCAGGATCGAAGAGCAAGCAAGTGTTCAAGACCCCTTGAAGTCAAAACTTGGACTGGCACACCATTACTTTTACCACATTCTATTGAAGTCATGAGACCAGCCCTGGTAAAGAATAAAGGAAACTATAATATTATAGGGAAAGGATATAAACACAGGGTGGTTACCATTAATGCAAGCAATGCACCAAACACCTGGTACTTTCTTCCAGATGTAAAATGTATACCATCTCTGCTATAATGGCCCTCTGACTTAAATACATCCTCCATGGACACTTCTGATACCAGGTGTCATGTCTCATTCACCATTGAATACCCAAATCCACCATACTGTGATCATTGAATGAATATGGCAAAAATGGTGAATAAATTTATTTGCTCATCTAGTTATAAGTGCTGAGGCAGAGAAAAATTGTGCCACGCCAGCACGACCAAGGTGATCCCGAGTGCGGGGGTGAAAGGATTAAGGAAAGACAGACAAGAGAATGAAAGCTGGGTCTCGGTGGGACGCTGCCTCCCTGATGAGGAGACAACGACAGCGCCCACAAGCCGTGTCTTTATTTTATAGCAGATGCCACGAGGCAAAGTAGGGGCGTGATCACGTTGTTTACAGCATTCTCGTGAGTTTCAACCTCACTTAACTACATGCACCCGAACTCTATCACAAGGCACGTGGGGCTACGTGTTCGGACCATAGGTTCAAGCTTACAACCACAGCCGCTGGCTATAATTGTGCTGGGAGGGCCCGGCCCTCCAGCTGGGACTTGCACGTGGCAATGAGAGGACCCTGTCCTTTCATTAGTCCGAGGCTTAAACCTGGCCAAAACACCGTAACCGCGCCCCACAAAAAATAATCAATAGATACCTAAATAATAACTCAAAGATACAGCATTTTTAGGCTCCTCCGGAGTCAGCAACACTTAATAGCAAGGCTAGACACCACAGGAGCCACTTTGCCTTTCACTGATGGCACCAACCCCCAAACAAAACAGCTGGTGTGGGATGAAAGTAGGTCAGTCACCAAATATTAAGTTCCAGAACACAGGTGAGAAGGCTAGGCCCACCTTGAATCCCAGGAGTACCAATAGCCTCTTTTGGCCCACAAGAGAGAACTCAGGAGCCATTCTTGCCCTGGCGTGCATACATAGTCCAATTATCTCTTTGAGCATTCTGCATATATTTTCAATAGCAATTTTATTAAGTTGCACTTCTACTTTCAATAAAATTCATTCTTTTAAAAATACACATTTCCGTGGGTTTCAGTAAAGATCAATCACCACTCTAATTCTAGCACATTTTTATCTCCTGAAAAAGAAACCCCAAACTCAATAGCAATTACTTCCCATTCCCTCTTTCCCCCACACCATCTTCCCAACCATTGGAAACCTTTAATCTATCTCTGCCTCTGTGGATTTGTCGATTCTGAACATTTTGTATGATTTGATTTATATATGGCCTTTTATGTCCGGCTTTTTCAATTAGTATAAAATTTGCAAGGTTCATCCCTGTTAGAGCATCTATCAGGAATTCATTTCTTTTAATGATTGAATAGTATGCTATGACATACACATTTTATTTATTCATCACTTGATGGACATTTGGACTATCTTGAATAATACTGCTATAAACACTTATGTAAAATTTTTTGCAAAGAAATATGCATTCGGTTCTCTTGGGTATATACCTAGGGGTGGAATTGTTGGTTCATAAGGTAACTCTATGTTTAACTTTTTGAGGAACTGCCAAACCATTTTCCAAAGTGGCTGTACCATTTTACATTCCCAGAAACATATGAAGTTTCCGATCTCTCCACATCCTTGCCAACATCTTTTTATTATAGCCATCCTAGTGGATGTGAAGTAATATCTCACTGTGGTTTTGATTTGCATGTCCCTAATGGTGTTGTGTATTTTAACCATATTTATATCTTCTTTGGAGAAATGTCTATTCAAACCCTTTGCCCATTTTTTAATTGGGGGGATATTTATTTTAAAATCTGGGTCCCCTTCCTTGGCCTTTGTCCTTCAGTCCCTTTTGTGCCTGTCCAACCCAAATCTCTGTCTTAGGAAGGGTCTCCCAATGATCATTCTTCCCAGGCCACCGGATAGCTGGAGGTTATTTGGAAACTGGTACTGTTTATTTTCTATGTGAATCCAAAAAGTCATTTGTCTGCTTTTTAAAAACTAAATGTCAAATATTTGTTTATTTTTCCAGATTTCTCTTTTTTTTCTTAAAAAGAGGGTGCAAAGTACGTCTCATAAATGTGGATTGAATTCACTGGAATCCAGTGAATCTCCTATGGGAGGAAATGTATTAAGGACAAGTGAAAGTTTGAATGTTGACATGGAAATATTTGCTGCA